GGATTAGTAGGTGTAGCAACCATGGGTCCCTGGGTGCTCGTTCAGTAGGTAACTTCTTGGTTGGAACTCTGTTTCACCTATCTGTTTAGGTTCTTTGGTTCTCTCAGGTCTTCTGCTGCACCCAGGGGCCCCTCTTCTTCTGTGGCTGATACTCAAACATCCTGAATGGGCAAGTAATTTATTTGCCACTGAATCTTATCAGAGGGCATTCTACCAACCTAAGAGAAACTGCCCACCTGGCAGAGAAATTCTGACTGTGGAAAGTTACTGATCCACCCTGGACTACATAAAAAATCCATTTGTAAAAATCCTAAGAAGAGCAAATACTTCGCCTGGCAAGTTCTCCAGCAGGGTCCTTGGCTGGCAGGAGCAACCACCCTCGCTAGGCACCAACCAAAAGCCCAGTCCTGAGCGGTGACAAATCTGGAATCCTCTGGCAGACTCCAGTCCAGGGCCTCCCGCACAAAGGAGTTCCTTCTTACAAACTGAGCACTGAATATGAACACACTTAGAATTAGTTTTGGCTGTAAGGGAAAAGCCAATGTGGAAAATATAATCTGATGGATAGGATTTGAAATGAAAGACAAAATATGGCTCAGGCTTCCACAGCCTAAGCTCTTGGCAGAAGCATAAACACTCTGTGGAATCTAAGACCAGGACACAATATGATACCTCAGCAAGAACGCAAGGGTGGCAAGAGATTTCAATATTAAAGGACTTACTCCACTATTCAAACTGTGAATCACCAGACTCTAAATAGAGAGGAAAAGGTGTACCAGCCAGCATTTACCTTGCCTCCCCTGGGCTGAAAAACTCTTCTAGTGCCTGCAGCACTCTCTTACAAAGATGAATAAGACAAGTCCTGGCCCTTGAAGGGTTTGTACCTGGTTGGGAAGGCTGGCAGGTAACTAAAACACACGTCTTATATGGGACGTGCCAAAAGTTGAATAAAAGTGAAGGGCAGCAGGGGCAGATAACTCCAGTCTTCAGGGAAGGCAGATAAGATTTCCCAGAAGAGAAGAGAGGGCACCCCATCTGGGTCTTGGAAAGACAGTGGGATTCTGAGAGGAGCAGCAAGGACAGAGGCAGTTCAGAGAGGCCAGGACAGGGTGTGGGGAGGAATTGGGCTCTGCTTGGGTGTGGCAGCTTCTCAGCCAATCGGGGTCGAGGATGGGGAGGTTTTGACCGTCCAGGGACGTTGGACCTGCCTCCTTGGTTCTTTCGAACACTTCAGGTCTGCTTTTAAATTGCAAAGCAACTCTGCCCTGTGTATCAACAATGAATTGGAATCAGGACAGAACTGAAAAGTCTATCTTTGCATATGTTTTTTGTTTCTTTTCTGCTATTTGAAAAAGTGATCACACATGCAAATCAACAATTGGCTCTTCGCCGTATCCAGCAAGTACTTATTCCTGAGTACACATTTACTCTCCACAGCAGTACTATAGGGGTTCCCTCAACCCTGCTTTATGGGGCCCTACCAGACCAGATCAACTTTTAGCTTAGAGATCACCCATGTGTTCTTGGCACATTGAAGGCTAGCCTTCAACACAAAAGGGTCATTATTACCATTGCAGGGCCACAAGTCCCTTGAAAATATCTGCAACATTGTTCCTGTTTGGTTTTTGTTTGGTTTACTGGGTTTCCTCTGCCTATTTGGGATGCAAATAGGAGTTAAAAATAATTCTAAAGGGATGCTATTAAGTACTTAGCTTTCTTTTGTATTATAAGAAACAATCCCATGTCTTGTTGGTAAAATCAAAACTATGTTGATGACAATTTAGACGTGAAATACCCAGCAGAGACAGACCATGATTATTTATGAAAGGCTCTATCAAGAAATTATTTACATCTTTGGGCAATTTCCACTTCGCTTGTGATTTAAGTCCTACGAGTATATTTCATCTAGTTATTCACACAAAGTTAATGGAGCTGTTCTGTACTATGTTTTTGATAGCACAGCATGCTGAATCTGACTCCCACCTTCCCTTCCCTAATTATTTGTAAGCTTTCCTCACCTCTGTTTTATTTTCTTCACAGAGTCATTCTTTATTTCAGAAGAGAGGCAACATGTGGAGTGTGAGATGTGGTTTTGGAATGTTCTCTAATTCCAGAGCCCTTGTTTGGGACCAGGTGGTGACCGGTCAGATTACAAAAACAGGAGAGTAATTTGTACTTGTCACCTGGAGAAGCTCTTGTCTAGAGATATCAAATACTATCCTTTTCACCAGATTCAGAGGAAAGAGGTAGGATCCTGGTGGCACCATTGTACCCTCTCAAAGTGCTCTCTAGTCCTCCAAATCGTAGCTTTATTTTCTCAGCGCTGAAATCATTGTGCTTTTCCCAGGCATTGAATTAAGAGGGAAGCAGTTGACTATTGGATGGGTTACTTGTCAGAAACTCATGCCTGTGGTGGTGATGGCAAAGAAAGTTCTGGCACCACAGTTTCAAGCTGAAGGACAGATTTATTGCGAGACTAAATCAGAAGAATATCCGTTATTTCTCCAGCATATTTTCAAATTAGATGAACATACCTGATCTCCTAATTCCCAAATCAATGGATTTTAAAGGGCAAAACAGTCACACCGCAACACTGAAAGAGATCAGCCCACGAAGCAGACTCTGTCATTTTTAGCCACAGGTTTACATGAGTGTGTCTTGGAATCAACACAGTGGCAAAGAGAATACATTTTTCCACCATAAACACATGGGGAGCCAACACCTCCAGGACACATGGCAGACTGTGTGAGATTGTTCTAATGGAGAAATAAACCTGTCACATAAAAACTTCATTCCCAAGAAAGCATCATCACCAAATGAAGGGGGAGAAGGTAGAAGGGGGAGAGGAAAGATGCAAACTGACATATTCTTAGTATATTCTATCTAAATTTCAACCATTTTCTCCATTATCCCTTTTACATCCCTAAAAAGATTTGTCAGGGGTAACTTTTCCTCCTATTTTACAGAAAAAGAAAAAGAAACTAAGTTTCAGAGAGTAAACTAAATAAGCTAAAGTCACACAATTAATAAAATATTATATCAGGTTCCACACCCAAGATTCCTTATTTGAAAGCCCATCTTCCCTTTAAGGGGCCACACTGCCTAATTCTACCCTGTTGTAATTCAGTACTAATTCAGTGGAGTGTGAGAATTCAGTACTAATTCAGTGCTAATAATGAATTGCAACAGGTTAAAATAGGCAGAGGAAACCCAGCAAACCAAATGAAAACTGAACAGGAACAATGTTGCAGATAATTTCAAGGGACTTGTGCCCCTGCAATGGTAATAATGACCCTTTTGTATTGAAGGCTATCCTTCAATGTGCCAAGAACACATGGGTGAATTCAGTACTAATTCAGTACTAATACTGAATTACAACATACTCTAAAAAGCAAACTCTAAAAAAGAGAAGAGGGTGGAAAGACACTAAGCTAGAAATTCCCAAGTTCTTCGCATCACAAGTAAGAGCAGGATTCTAGATTATTTTGGATAGGGTACAGAAAAAAAGCTCATTTACATTTGATGTTAGACTGCATTACGTAAGCATATTTTTGCTACAGCAGCAGAAGTCAAGCTACCTTCCCTAATACGTTCTGGTTGTACTAATACTGAAATTGGACCATGGATACAGACCACGTAGCAGCTGATTAAAAGGCACCAAGAGCTTTCATAGAAAGCCAATCTAGGGACAAAAGCTTTGTCCCAGATTGCAATGTTAGGAGGAAATTGTCTGGTGGCAGGAACAGGGGACCAAAGAAATTCAGAGATAAAACTTTCACCTTTATAGCCTGTCAAATTATATACCCTGAATGTACACAGACAAATTCCCCAGGCACTTTAGGAATCACATGTGGGTGTGTCTCTGTGTCTGTGCGTGTCTCTATGTGTCCCATTTGCCCTCTGAAGAAGGCTTAACTAGCTTACATCTAAGGATGCAACCCATTTCCAGAAGATGCAATTGATATTAAATCCCAGAAGGTAAGCAGCAAGAATGGAGCCCTGCACACTGGTATGTACCAGTATCATTAGAGTCTAGGGAGGAACCAAAAAAGATCTTGCACTTCACCAATTTTATGCTGTAGAGAAAACTGTCCCCCCACATGATGAGCAGGGCAGGTTGCCAGCTCTCTAAAGAAATCACAGGTGGCCGATAAGGATAACCCAGTATCAGGAACCACAGTGGTAACAATCAAGCACACAATGTAAGTAGATTTCTTTTTAACCATCACTTTCCCGGAAATGGAAATATGCCATCAGGTGTGAACCTACTTAATCACTATATTGGAAGTTGCCACCTGGGCACAGTGGCTCACACCTGTAATCCTAGCACTTTGGGAGGCCAAGGCGGGTGGATCACGAGGGGTTCAAGACCAGCCAGTTCAAGACTAGCCTGGCCAACATGGTGAAACCTCCTCTTTACTAAAAATATAAAAATTAGCCAGGCCTGGTGGCGCACACCTGTAATCCCAGCTACTCAGGAGGCTGAGGCAGGAGAATCACTTGAACCCGGGAGGCAGAGGTTGCAGTGAGCCGAGATCGTGCCACTGCACTCCAGCCTGGATGCCAGAGTGAGACTCCATCTCAGGAAAAAAAAAAAAAAAGAAGTTGCCAACAAATAGCCAGGTTTGTTTTGAAGTCAATTGTTTGAAATTTCTAACACTTTTTCCCACAGAGAATATACCAAAAATACTTCCTACGTAAGTCTACAAAAGAATACTGGGAAAAAAAATCAAGACACCCAACTTTTCAAAGACTCCATGAACCTTGGGCTTTTTGTCTGTAAAATGGGCGTAATGATGCTCTTTCTGCCCAACTCATGGAAGTATTGAAAGGAAAATTTAGAAAATGTTTCACTGAACAGAGCCCAGGCACTTCCACATTACATAATGCATAAAGTGTATTCATAGAATGAAATCAGTCTCAAGCAATACTCTAGTCATGCTAGTAATGAAAAAACTAAAGAATAAGAAATTATAATACGGAGAAAATATTTGGGGGGACTCTGAATGTTGGGGCTAAAGGAAAACTGAAAAATGAATGATGAAGTAAATGATGGCTTTTCCTTTCTTTTCTTTATTTAGTTCCATCACCTTCTAACATGCCATTTAATTTACTTCCTGTCGTTATTGTGTGTCTGTCTCCCCTGAGAGACTGTCACCTCCCTGAGGGCAGGAATCTTGATAGGTTTGTTTATTCATTGCTACATCCCAAGCATCTAGCACAGTGACTGGCACATTGTAGTCAGTAAGCACATATTTCTTAACAAATTCATTTATAATGTGATAATGATGAAGGGCACCCAGTGCATCTTTGAGAAGGACTGATGGAATGACTTTGGGCCATTTCACAGGGGAAAATCTTCTGGCTGCTTTCTTTTAGTCAGGGATTTATGATGATAGAGGAATCTGGGGTTGCTCTGGACACCGTAGATCTCAAGGAGCTGGAACGGTGTTCTCTGAATATTTCGTGATGAAGAGTGAGAGCATCCGTCACCTCCTGGTCACCTCAGCTGCTCCTCTTCCCACAAGGGTGTGTGTGTGCTAACAACATGCTGGTACATCCGCTTTGGACTCTTCCACCCAGACGAACATCCGAATCTTCCATGGGGTCTTGCTCTCTCTCTTCCTCTGGGCCTTTTGTTGGCATTTCTCTTAGCAGAGTTCCATCCATTTTCCTAGAACCACTGCCTATTATCAAAAGGTCTGGAGCTAGGGGCAGGGAGCAGATTGTGGTGTGCAACCCTCTAGACTCTTTGGTGGAAGGGAGGAAGCTCCAGCCCACCTCTCCCTTTGGGGTAGGAGGAAAAGTCCAGGGTTTGCTTACCTAGGGGAGCCAGTTCTGCTGGGATCCAGGTCCCCATCTGCGCTGAAGTCTGTGTCCTCAAGCCAGTCCTGTCATTAACCCATGTTTCTTATTTAGTTCTTAGAATTTTAGAGTAAACTTAGAAATAAAATTCAACTTCCTCATTTTAGAAAAAAGAAAACTAAAGCTCAGAGAGGGAAATTGACTTGCCTAGGTCACACAACTAACAAGTCAGAGGCAGAGAAGCCTTCACCACCTTGACCACACCTGTCCTGGCAGCACCAGCTATGTCTGGGGAAAGTCAGGCACGATCTTGACAAGAGTCAATAGTAGCAGCGTGGTAAGAGTAGCAGCAAAAGGTTGCAGGACTTTGTAGGAATGAATCAGATTTTTGTAATTTTTGAAATGCTATAGCCAGATAAATCCAGTAATAGTTACTTGATTTATATATTTTTAGAGTATTCATCTTTTTTTTTCTAAAATGCTTTCCCAGCAGGTTACTTAAAATAACCTATTCCCACAATGTATTTCAAATATGGTTTCATTCACACACTTTGCTGCTTAATCTCAATGTAGTCTTTTTAAGGTGTGATTGAACTCACAACTTCTTGATGTAATACAAATGAGTTGTCTTTTTCAAGAGATGTGATTGAGTTTTTCATGTTCTTATTTATGGGTTCACAAAGTTAGGCTTTGGGGTGGTGAGTGAGAGGGAGTAAGTACAGGTGAAATCAAGCAGGCAGATCAACCCTAAACAATATTTTCCCAAAAAACAAGTTATCAACTGATGCCCTTGTGGAAAGTAGAGGGTTGCCTCTAAGTCTAAATTGACAGATTAAAGAGGCCAAGAAAAACAAGAACTTTCAGGTCATAATATTCTAGAGCTCCTTTCTGCTACTTTTAAGTAGAATTGAAGGTGTATTGTCTAGTCCAACTATTTCACAGTTGGATAAGAAAACAAAAACCCAGAGTACAGACTGACTCGTCCAAGGTCAGCGAGGTCAGCTGGTTCCCAGTGGGATTCTGTTTTTTAGTGCAGAATTCCCACTGGGTGGAAGAGGGGAGTAGTAGGATAAAACCAGAGAGGAGCATGGAATTCTCAGGAAATGTCAGGAGCTCCTCCCTACCAATAGGGAAGCTCTCAAAGTGTTTTTGTCAACTCCAGCGAGTTCAGGCAAAAGAGAGTAAATGGATCTTTCAGAATCACCGGACACAGAGCATAAGCTAAGACTAGGTAAGCAAGTAGGCCTTCTTGGAGGTGAATTTATTTCTAGGACTCAAGATGTTCCCTGGATGGGGAGAGATTGCCCATGGGCGGGAGTGGGCTGACTGTCAAAGCCCCCACCAGCATTTACAAGTACGTTCCTAAGAGGCTTGCCTCTAGGTTCTAAGCCTGGAGACCTTGGGCAATGTCCGAAGATCCTTTGGTTGTCACAACTAGGGAAGGTGGCGCTACCCCCATCTAGTGCCTAGATGCCAGGGATACTGTGAAAAATCACAGCTGCCACTCTAGCAAAAAGTATCCCACTCCAACTGTCAGTAGTGCCACGGTTGAGGAAGAAACATTTCTCTACCTACCTATCCATCAGTGTTCTGCTAAGACTCAGTATTACTTCATCAAATGCTACTTTCTGAACCCGAGAAATCAAATGACAATTATAATGGTTCATTCTTCTCTCTCTTTAGATCTTTCCATTTTAAACTGTCCCCCAATCCCTACCGCGCCCCCCCCAAAAAAAAATCCGGATGAAGGGGAGCTAAGTAGGAGAACAGGAAACAGCAATTTCAATAAAAATACTTAGCACTGAAACTGTATGCGTAGGAGAGACTATTTTCCATGTACTTACATTTTTCTTGTTCTTTGTTGTCATTCCACCATCCTTGGTAAATTTGTTTTCGTTTTAAGTGTTACAAGCAGTTATTATGTATTCCAGGCAGGGTTCCCAAGCTGTGACAATTTAAATGAGGGAGACTTTTTTGTAGGGAAAAAAAAAATGATAAAAAAAATATAAATGGTTTGTTGAAACACTGAAGAAAAGCTTGTCTCAGAGAGCAAAATGCTTTTTTATGTAGTCTTAATATTAATCGAAAATGAAAATGTCCTTCACTTTGAAAGGGTAAGATTTGGCAGGTATGAGATATAAGAGGGCAACGAGAGTCTCCTCCACATTGACAACTGCATGTTTCTTGAAAAGACTTTGAAAGAAATAGTATATAAGGAGCCACAAGTTATTTTTAAAATGGCTTAAATCTTTTACACGTTCACCTCAAAGAAAGAGAGAAACTCACAATAACAGCGTGGAAGAAGAGAAGAGATTGTGGATGAAGGATCTGAAAACTTGGATTTTATCCAAGATCGTTAAAATGTTCCATGACCTTGGGCAAATGATCTATCGCTTAGGTTTCCGCTTACTCTAAATAACAATAATAATAATAATATGTGACTTGGCTGGACTCAGTGGCTCATCCCCATAATCCCAGAGCTTTGGGAGGTCAAGAGGGGAATATGGCTTGAGGCCAGGAGTTCCAGACCAGGTTGGGCAACATGGGGAGACTCACTTCGTCTCTACAAAAAAATTAAAAATTAGCCAGATATGGTGATGAGTGCCTGTAGTCCCAGCTACTCAGAGGGTGAGGCAGAAAAATCACTTAAACCAAGGAGTTCGCAGTTGCAGTGAGCTAAGATTGTGCCACTGCACCCTAGCCTGGGCAACAGAGTGAAAGCTGTCTTTCTAAATATTACACATAATAGTAATAATAATGCATATCTTACCGACTTCATAAGGTTATTTCAAGGTTCCAAAGGTATGTGAGTGAAAATACCAGTGCTCAGACTCCCCTCATATTCCTTTACAGTTCCCACACCAGCGTGATCAATGCTTTCATGAATACAAAGAGCGATTACTCCTGGCAAACGAAGTCAGGATCAAACCAGGAATTATGACAAAGGAGACTGTTGTGTTACTTATTACACATTTTCAAAGTTCCTTTTTTTAAATTCTTTTTTTTGTCAGTTTAAGGTGAGGCATTATTGGTGTAGGATGTATATAGCCCAAATAAATATTTTTACAGAAAAAAAAAGTCATGACAAGGTATCATGCCCCTGAAACCAAAATATTGGAATGTTCGCTCTCAAAGGGAAAATTTGCTTTCTTGAAATTTCTGACAAGCTGGTAAATAAGTGAGAGAGTTAGCAGGGCATGTTTCTTACAATGCAGAAGGAGCCAACCAGTGGAATTTATTTACCTCGTAAAGTCGCTCAAAATCTTATCAGTTATGTTGCAGCATTAATATGAGACAGGGAATGCATCTTTGGTTTGCAGAGGTTCGGTGACAGGCTGGCGTTGACACAAACGGAAAATTAATGTTAAAGGAAAGGAGAAAAAAAAACAGCACTAGATGACAAACCAGCATATCCAAAAAGAAGAGAAGAACATTTGGAAGTTGTTATTTCTTTATGTGTCTTTAGTATTTTTCATGCAGAATTTTATGGAGGCCACAAAATGGTGGGTAAAGGAAAACTAGTGGATGTAATTTGTTTAGACTCTCAAAGGGCTTTTGATAAAGTCCTACACAGGAGACTATTAAGGAAACTTGGTAACTACTGGGCAAGAGGTAAAGAGCTGTCAATCATGGGTTAAAAGTGGGTTAAGAGATAGAGGGGGAGCAAAAGAATAAATAACCAGCTCTCAGCATGGAAAGGAGTTAATTGTGGGGTGTCAGCGATTGATGCAAGAGCACTGTCCTCCAGGATACGTGGTAACATCCTAGAAAATTGACTAAATAATGAGGTGCTGAGATTTGATGACTACACAAAACTATTTTGGTTCCCTAAGTTTACACAGATGGATGTGAAAAACATAGAATCCAAACTCAGTAATTGGGCAAAACAGTGGCAGATGAAGCTCAGAACAGACAAGTGCAAAGTCATGCACATTGGAAGTAGCAACTTAAATTACTCATCCACTCGGGTAAGTTCCGAATTAGTTCTAACCTTACAGGAAAAAGATGTAGGCTCCCAGAAGACGTCTTAATGAAGATGTATACATGATGCTCAACAGAATTTTAAAACAGAAAAGCAAATATACTGTTAAATTGTAGTAAGAATAACAGAGAATATATTCCAATGTTGCTACAAGATCATTGAACCCCTTTGTCCTACATTTAGTTAAAGTCACCTTATTTCCAAAGGAAGATGGTAAAAATAGAAAGCAGCATCTGATAACATCCAGGAAAATAATTAGGAGCAGTGGGAAGGGATAGGCAAAATTTTATATGGGAAGTGTTTTTTTAAGTGAGTAATTAGTTAATAATTTGAACAAAGGAAAGTTGAATATAAGGAGGGTATACATGCCTTCTGTAAAGGTAAAAATGTATAGTAATAATTTTGCAACTTAGATTGTAGGTAGACTAGAAACTGTCTATAAATGGCGTCAAAGATAACCTGGGTTTTCTTCTGATGTGAGATGCTGTGAACTGATGGAGTTCTGTTTTTCCTCATGAAAGTCAGTCCATCTTCCAACCTACAGTGGCCATATTTCATTTGTTCTAAGATGGGAATTAAGGGAATATGCCCATTATAAAGTTTCAGGATGGGTGCAGTGCTTCGCGCCTGCAATCTCAGCACTTTGGGAGGCCCAGGTGGGAGAATCACTTGAGGCCAAGAATTCGAGACCAGCCTGGGCAACATAACAAGAACCCATCTCTACAAAAAGTAACAGAATTAGTCGGGTGTGGTGAAGTGTGCCTGTGGTCCCACCTACTCAGGAAGCTAAAGTGGGAGGATCTCTTGAGCCTAGGAGGTCAAGGTTGCAGTGAGCCGTGATGGTCCCACTGCACTTCAGCCTGTGTGACTTTGTCTTACAAATAAAAGAAACAAAAAATAAAGTTTCATAGATGTTATTTGTGACTTTGTCTCAAAAATAAAACAAACAAAAAGTAAAGTCTCATAGATGTTATTTCTAAAATCATTTATGATATTTTGTCTCTTCTTCCAAGCCCAGGAAGTTGCATATTGATTTCATATTGATGTTATATATCAATTCCAATGAAATAAAGACAGATGCCAGGTTAATCCAACAGTTAAGTCATTGCATTCACCTTATCCTTTAAGTTCCCAGATGCACAAATCATCGCACACTTTCCCTCTTCCCTCTTCTCCAGGAGGCAATTTATCCATGGACCTGACCACCAGGAGCAGTAAGATGTTTTTTGCCTCTCTGTCCTTTCTTTCTCCCCAGACGTTTAGCTGAGATTGGCAACTATGGTTACTGAAGTCCAGAGGAACCAAACCCCAGGCTTCCAGAGATTAAGCATCCATTGATGGAGGCCAGAAAGAAATACTCTGCCCCAGTGCGAAAGTGCTTTATAATTGACCCAGTGCTTGTTAAGAAAATGACATCCTCACACTCAACTAAGGATTGCACAAGTGGGCAGGTGCATGGAGGGTGAGGGAAAAAATGGGTGAGGTGGAAAGCGAGGACAACTACTGAGTAATTCCCTTCCCGCAGCATTTATACCTCACCAGAAGATTGGAACTGAGCTGTTGGAGTCTTGGGTGCTTCTTAGACTGTATTTACTATTTACTATGTTCAAGCAATTGATGTGGTATGGGACTTCAGAAGTACCTTTCCCTGTGTGTTTTCCTTCCTGAAATCTAAAACTTGAGCACTGTGGTAAACAAAAATAAACGAAGAATGAATATCAATAAAGCATGGGCAAGAACAAACCAAATACTGATGTAACAATAGCATTAATAGAAGCTAAAATTTGAATTTCACTGCAAAAAGAGTCTCAGCAGAGAAATTTTTTTTAAGCCTTGCAAGTGGTGTATAAGTATTCTGTAAAGGATGAGCTTACCTTTAAGAAATGATATATATATTTTAGACAGGCATTTAAATGCTTAATGAAACATTTCAAGTGACATATAGATATTTTCCTCTTCAAATAGGTAGATTCTTTCTAAAAGAGGGCATAAGGTAACATTTTCCACAAAAACTCTGCAAATCATAAAAGGCAGACATTTTGCTAAGTGTTGGCATCACACAAGAGGGTTATATCAAGTGGAAAGTTACTGGCATGGGTCAGTGTTTACATAAGTATCTTTCTCTCTCCACTCTTTGTATCAAATGTCTTACAAGCTTCTTTTCAAAAGAAAAATTATAGATATATATACGCAGCTGTTGAATCACTTGCTATTTTAGGAAACATTTACTCATCATTTATCCCTAGTTCTACCAATGACGTGGATGTCAACATATTGATATTGCCCTCTCAGCTTCCACTCATACCTCACCATCCCCCAGTCTCTACAGAGCCCAGATATTAAAGCATCTTTTGTGAATGGCAGTATCACCACCACCATCATCCAAAACTGTTAAACTTACACATATACACAAATGCAGAGAGACAGAGAGAAATGTCTTCAGTCCCTTCAGTGTTGGTCACCTAAAAAGGAATTAAAATTCTTGTAAACAACGCGTTCAGACGGACATTACTTACCTAAGACAATAACTCTCCAGAATATATCCAAAAAGAAAAAGATTCCTGAACAGTGAAAATAGATGTCAAAAATCCATGCATTTCCCTTTGTCATGAACCCTTCAGATTGTCCCTCAAAGTAAGTTTACTTTTTAAAAACTTCATTAATACATTAATTGCATAAGAATATTTTTCTTCAGTTTAAATCATGTTAGCTGTTTATGAATTAAATGATAGTTCATGATAACATATATTTTAAAAATCTTAACAGCTTTATTGAGATGTAATTCACATGGCATAAAATGCATCCATTAAAGTGTTCTATTCAATGGTTTTTAAGACATTTACTGATATGTACACCTATCACCACAGACAATTTTGAACATTTTCATCACCTCAGAGAGAAATCTCATAACCTTTAGCTGTTACTCTCCTGCCTCTCTATCTTCGTTCCCACCCCAGCCCTAAGCAAACACTAACCTACTTTCTATCTCTATAGATTTTTCTGTTCTGGACTTTCACATGAATGGAGTCACAGAATACATGATCTTTTGTGACTGACTTCTTTCACTTAGCATAATGTGTTTAAAGTTTATCCAGGCCGGGCGCTGTGGCTCATGCCTGTAATCCCAGCATTTTGGGAGGCCAAGGTTGGGGGATCACTTGAGCCCAGGAGTTAGAGACCAGCCTGGGCAACATGGTGAAACCCTGTCTCTACAAAAAATACAAAAATTAGCAGGGTGTGGTGGTGCAAGGCTAGGTGGTCCTAGCCTCCCAGCTACTTACGAGGCTGAGGTGGGAAGATAGATTGAGCCCAGGCAGGGGAGGTTTCAGTGAGCCAGGATTGTACCACTGCATTCCAGCCTGGGTGACAGAGTGAGATCGTGTCTCTAAATAAATAAATAAATAAAATAGTTTATTCATGCTGTAGCGTGTATCGGTGCTTCATGCCTTTTTATGGCCAAACAATATTCCATGGACTGGA